TATTTAATTAAATGCTAAATTAATGCAAAACTAAATAAATGTTTAAAAAAATTGGAATAATTGGCAAATTTGATTTTTTTTAAACAAAATTCCCAAACAAATTTTTTTATTTTTACAGCAAACGGAGAAAGAAAACAGGAATAAAACATAAATATATTTTTTTGTTAAGGCAAATACGTATACTAAAAAGAGATTTTTAAAATATAACTGTTTAGGCCTAAGCAAACTTTACAGTTCAGTTCAGCATTAAAGTCGATTTTGGTATCCCCTCTCTAAATAAATGTGTAAATCAAGTTGTTGTAAATTTGTCTATAATGCAAATCGAAGCGAGTACAAATTAAATTTAATATATATGTGCGTAAAATATATTATTTATTTAATATTTTTCTATTGAAATTATAATTTTTGTTTGAATTTTTCATTTCTAATGTAAGTCACACAAATTTAGAGACAAAGTAAATGAGGCATACAAAAAATTTTTGGAACAAAGACAAGTACAAAATTTCAGGTAATACGAAAAAGTAGCAGTAAAAATTTACATTAACAAATATATTATGCAAATACGTACAAATTTTTCGGCATGAAAAACGTAAAATTAAAAAAAAAAAATAAAAAAATAAAATAAAAATTAAGTAAGGAACTGCCATGAAAATGTTTGGCAATTGGTGTGACTTTTTAGCAATGCTTTTAGTTAAATAAATAAATATTTGCAATGGAATATATGAAAAAAAATATATGTATTTATTTTTTAATTTATAAATTTTCTGTTTATACCTTACAATATAGACAATCTTGAGTTACACATGCGAAAACTATTTTAAAAAAAATAAAAAAATTAAAACTGCGCTGAACTGCAAAGTGAGCAAAACAAAAAAATTTAAGTAAGACAAAATTACACAAAAAATAATCTTTTAGTTTCGAATTTTTTTTTTTTTTTTTYTTTTTTGAAAGTCCACTTCATAAATATGGATTATGTAAATGTATGCTAAAGTCTATGTACATATACATTTATTAAAAAATACAAAAAAAAACACGATAGTTTTAAAAAATATATAAGTAAAATCCATTTTGGAGCAAACTCAGGGCATTATCAAGACTCACGACGATGTATACATGCATTTAATACAAAAAAAAAAAAACTTTTCGATGTGTATTACAAATAAAATTAAAAAATAAATAAAAGCAAAAAATTTGTAATCATGCAAAAAACGATTATGAACAACTCAGGTATTAAACATAAATATTGAAAAAAAATATTTTCAAAAAAAAAAAAACATTTTTTCAAAAAAGTTGTGCAATATTCTTAAAAGTTTTCTAAATACGTAATAGTATTAAATAAAACTAAAAACAAAGCAAATAAAATTAAAGAGGTTCGAGTGTTCATAAATGGAAGTTAGGCATGGAAAGAGATAGAAATAGAGTTTAGAGCAAGAGTAAAAGTGAAGGAGCGTGAGTTTTTGAAGCAAATGACGATTTAGCCTTATAATTTTATATTTATTTTATTTTTTATTTATTTAAACCAAGCCACAAAAAACAACAACACGACAACTACAACCACTAACATCCACAACAAACATACAAACAAACAAACATACACACAACACAAAAGATACAACAAAAATAGTCAAATAAATAGCTAAATGAAAATGAGTTTATATAAAAGAAGGAAAACATAAAACTGTGATTACATTTTTTATTGTCGATGCTGATTGATAACAAAAATGTTGCATAAAAGAATAAAAATGAAAAAAAAAAAAACAAAAAAATGTACATGCAAGATTGGCAAACTTATAAAAAAAAAAAAAAAAAAAACAAAAAGTAAAAGAAAACAGCGTATGATTTCTTTAATGCATAACTAAATAAATATTTAATTAGCCGAAATATTAAACTTCAAAAGAATTACTAAGCGTAAAAAATACTAAATATTATAAAATTATTTGAGTATTAGTAAATAATGTCTATCAAGCTATATAATTTACCAGACTTTTTCTTTTAAAAACTTCAAAATTTACGATTGGAAAACTCAAAATTCAGCGTTTAGTTTACATTCCACTAAACCCTTTCTGTATGTAGTGCACTTTAGTTAAAAATTAAAGTCTGAGATTTTACATTTATATGGTCAACGTATACACCTAATTAATAATATATAAAAAACTAAAAAAAAAAAAATAAGCAAAACTAAAAAAAAAATACAAAATTGACTAAGTTTATGAATTATTTAAACAGTAAACACACACAAACCAAACAAAAACACACACATTTATATTTGGCTATATACTAAACAAAAATATATATAAACATATATATAGAAAGCAAAAAGTGTAATGAAAAATTAAAAAAAAAAAAATTAAAATTAACTAAACTGTATTTTCATTCTGATTTCCATATATACATATGTCTGGAATATGTGCAAGCGTGAAATTTAAGTAAACAGCTTAAATATATTTTTAATGAAAATTCGGATTAAAAAAAATTTACGATTATGGCATAAACTTTTGTGTAAAATATTAAATCTAAGCTATACAAAAAAGCAAAAGAAACAAAAAAAAAACGTACAGAAGAAAAAACGCATTGTAACAAAAACTCACACAGCATGGAAATGGGGAAACAGATATTGAACATAAAGTATATGAACGAAAAATCTAAATTCAATAAACTTGTTGCAAAAATATAATACAAAAAAA